AGGACTTTCAATACAGTGATCTCTCACCTGTCACGGGAGTTACGTTCCAGAGACCCCAGCAATAGGTGAAAATCTGCGAAGTAGCAGCGTTATATTTATTTTATTATTTTTATATATTTTAAGGCTTTGTAAACCCTTCCCCGCACTCCTATAAACCTTTCCCACTCTCTTATTAACCGTTCCCACACTCTTATAAACACTTCATATGCTCTTAAACACTTTCTACACTCTTAAACCTATGTAATTTTAACCACAAAATTCTATATGGGTACTCACCAGTGAAGTATACAGTCATCCCTCGCTATATCGACTGTGATATAGCGAGGGATGACTGTACTATGCTGAATAGAAGTGGTGAAAATGGACAACCTTGTCTTGTTTTTGATCTTAGTGGGAAAGTTTTTAGTTTTTGCACATTGAGTATGATGTTGGCTATAGGTCTCTCATTATGGCCTTTATTATGTTGAGGAATGCTCCCTCTATTCCCACTTGGCTGAGTGTTTTTATCATAAATGGGTGCTATACCTTATCAAATGCTTTTTCTGCATCTATTGATGTGATTATGTGATTTTTGTCTTTGCTTTTGTTTATGTGATGTATTACATTTATTGATTTGCAAATATTAAACCATCCTTGTATCCCTGGAATGAATCCCACTTGGTCATGGTGTGTAATCTTTTTAATGTATTGCTGAATTCAGTTTGCCTATATTTTGTTGAGGATTTTAGCGTCTATATTCATTAGTGATATTGGCCTGAAGTTTTCTGTTTTTGTTGTGTCTTTATCTGGTTTGGGGATTAGAATGATGCTGGCTTCATAAAATGAGTTTGGGAGTCTTCCATCTTCTTGGATTTTTTGGAGTAGTCTTTGATAGATAGGGGTTAGCTCTTCCTTAAATGCTTTGTAGAATTCTCCTGTGAAACATCCAGTTTAAGGCTTTTGTGTGTTGGGAGTTTTTCGATTACTGCTTCAATTTTATCAGCTGTTGGTCTGTTCATGCTTTCTGCTTCCTTTTCACTGAGTTTTGAAAGATTACGTTTTTCTAGACATTTGTCCATTTCACCTAGGTTTTCTATTTATTTCTTTTTAGAGAGGAAAAGGGAGGGAGAAAGAGAGGTAGAAAAACATTGATATGTGAGAGAATCATCAGGTGGTTGCCTCTCACAAGTGCCCCAACTCCAAATGGGGACCGAGCCCACAACCCAGGCATGTGCCCTGACCAGGAATCAAGCCAATGACTTTTTGCTTTGCAGGATAATGCCCAACCAACTGAGCTGCACTGGTCAGGGTAAAAAATTACTCCTTTTTGAGGGAGGAATGGAAAGCCCTTTCCCTGATTTGTTTCCCTGCCTCTGAACTCCTGCCACACACCCTGTCTGTGTCCTTTATCTTAGTTTCATGTCATCTGTGGCCTGCGATCCCAGTGGGACTTCCCCTGCTTTAGGGGTGGACTCCTGTTTGTGGCTTGGTCTGCAGCTGCTAATACAGGATGACACTTACAGGTACTGTATGTCTGTCTGGTCATTTTACAAAACAAACATGTTTAGAATAGAAAGGTTTTGTCTTGCTTTTGTTGCCTTTATTTTTTTTGGTGGTTGTTTTCATTTTAGAACATTGAATTGAGACTTTCTTGATGTGAATCTCAAGATCTCAGGCAGTTTTTAAAGAGTTCAAGTGTAGCCCACTCTGTGGCGATAGACTACAATCCTAATATGTGGTGTGACAGAGGAAGATCTCATCTTTCAGATCCCCTATTTCTTTATCCATAGAACAAGGTGACAGTGTGTGCCCCCAGAGTTGCTGTGGGCATAAAGGTGACCACATGGGGGAGATGCCTAGCACCCATCCTAGCACAGAGCAGATGCTTAGGACATGTTAGTTGCTTTTTCCTTATGTGGAAGACTCCTTGGATTTATCAGGTTTGTGGTTTGGGTCTCTTTTCTGACCTATCGGTCCTTTCCTTCTTGTGCTTCTCACCTCTCCCCATCTCATCAGCCTCACAGAGCAGTAGACAAGTTTTTTCTCTTTGCTTTTACAAAGTCTTAGTGTAGGTTCCTAAGCTGAGTCAAATTTGACATCTGTCTTTCCCAAACATTTCATTTCATCCCCTCACTTATGTCAAAAGTACTCAATTATTCCATGAATTAAAACATCAGGCACTTTGAACATCTCTCAGTGAAAAGATATAACTAATTTTACACCATTAATATAGTGCTGAGAATTGAATAAGTCCCAGAAAATGGTCAGGGCAGTGGTTCATTTATAAAATTTCTAGTCACTGGAAATTGAATGGCATTAGTAATTCTTGTTAATTCTCTTTGAGTGATGATGGTGTTATATGGGAAAAAGTCCTCAATTTAAAGAGACACATGGTGAAATATCTAGGGGTCAGGTTTCAGAATATTTCCAATTCACTTTCAAATGTAGGTGTGTGTGCAAACATAGATAGATCCATGCATCTGTCTATGTTACACGAGAGTAGGGCACACTGTAGCAACAGTGATATTAGTTGTTGAATCTAAGTGGTAGGAATATTGGCATTCAGTGTATTCATCTCTCAACTTTTGTATGTTAGAAAAATTTTATAATGAAAGCTGGGTTAAAAAAATAAGAAATGGAAAAGTGCAATCTGTAGAGTTTCTAAAAAATTTTGCCACTCGTTTATGTGATTTTTACTTATTATACTTTTGAGTACTACAAAAAAAGCTTCCTATTGAGAGCAGATATTTCTTTTGAAATGACAGAATACCAATTCTTAACATACATGATTTTGATAAGTTGTAATTGTGACTCAACATTTGAAAAATAGTTCATACACACACACACACACACACACATACATATCCCTTCCAAACTATTATTTGGAACCAACGTAATTCTGAGGGATTGTGAACATTTCAGTGGAAGCAAGTAACTAATATTGTGGGTTAACCTGGAGGACTGCAGTTTTGGAACACCATCAGGAAACAATTTTTTAAAAATTTCTACAGAAAAATAATCTGTATACCAATATTTTAGAGAGAAGAGGCTATGTACTTACTCTAGGGTAATAAATCATAATATATATTTGCCACATGAGCAGAAAGTGGAGTGAGACTTTGTACCAGACAGGAGCCAACTCCCTGTCTAAGTGTGTTCATTTGTAAAGTAGAATGATAATAATGCCCCTTGGCAAGTAAGTGAGGCACTGTAAATAGTATGCTCAGTAAAGCAGTGGGTATTGTTGTGTTGCAACCTATATCTAACCTGACGAAGATGTGGAACTGGAGAGTATAAATGAATGTGACATCATGGTTCTTAATGACCAGTGCTGGAAGAAGACAGGTTGGGTAAATCTCTATCATTGCAGGTCTGTCCCTCTCAGATTCTATCTCCAAATGTTGACCACTAATTCTTCTGCCTAGTCTGGGCTTTAGGAATCTTTTGCCCACCAATTATTCTAAAACTTATCAATTCCTACCTTGCTCTGATACATATGTGGGCTTTTTAAGTGGTTCTTTTTTGTTTTCCCTGAGATTCGGTAACTACTCAGTACTGATTGCTCTCAACTGCAGACAGACCCTTGACTAGGACTTGTAGGTAAAGTAAGCCCTGCGGAGGGCTTCATTCACCAGGCTATTGCAGCAGTCCGCCAATTCACAATGGTCTTTCTTTTGGGGAAGAGCTTTCTATTCATGAAAGTGATTTCTTCCTAGTTTTTCATACAATAAAACTATTGAAAGATTTCAGCCGTGTGTCTGGCATTCCTTGGCCTTTTTTTTTAACTAAAATATCTGTTGACATGATTAAAGGAACTATTATTCCATTTAGCATGGCATAGTGACAAACACCAGATTCTTTCAAACACCAGATTTCAATTCAGAAAATTTGCTTTGTAAAATTTTCCCAGTTACTAGGTTCATTAGACTGCACTAGGTTTAAATGACTCTTATTCTTTTTTTGTCCACAAAATAACATTAATCTTTTTTATTGTCAAATAAGAATGTTTATGAAAGTGCTTTGTAAATAATAGTGATATAAATTATTACTATTATTGCCAGTCTTCTTAATTTGACTAATTTCAGTTACCTACATATCCAGGTTATGATTCTGCTCTAGGGAATGTAATGGAATTTTATATTTTGGTTTATCTGAAGGTGATAGAGATTGAACCAAATAATGAACTTTTATTTTTTATATTTAGGCTTCCTTTACCCACTTTTTTGCATATCTCTCAATGTGCAAAAAAAAAAGAAATAATTCTTCATACCCTCTTTTCAGGAACATACAAGTTTTTTTCTTCATTTTTCAAAAAAAAAATTCAGTAAACTCTATGGCTTATTTTTCATTACCATCAAAACAAATGAGCATGTAAGCCACTTGAGGCTTTTATGAACCACATACAAATACTTGCATTCATCCCCAATGTCCTAGTGAGAAAAGTACTTCTGTTTTTGGACATCATGACATTCTAAACCCATAGTAAGTGGAAGTTGCAGGTATGTTCTTTCCACTCAGGGTTTATCTTTCTGCATTGGTGAATACTTAGAAGAACTGTAGGCAATTCCCAAGAGCCATCAGAAGTGATGGTTGACTTGGAAGCTATGGCCCTCTCTCTTGTCCATGCTGAGCTGAGGCTTAAGTATGGCTTTACTTTCACTGTGGTCCACAGACATCTCATCTCTATAAGGAACCAGGCGTCTCCCATGTTGGCAATAAGGGCTTTAAATTTCCATGAGGCATTTTGTCGGAGATAAGATGCCACTTTGGCATCACAGTCAGATCTGTGCCTGGTTAATTACAGACTGACGGATTTCCTACATCCAAATGCATGTCTATAGTTTCCCTTGATTTTTGAAAGCCACCCACATCAGTGGGTATAGAATTATCAACATTCTTAGGAGGAAGATTAAAGGTGTCCTTGTTCGTCGCAGTCTCTATATTTAGCCATTTGGGATTGAAGTCATTATTATTGTGTATCACCTCCTTCTATTAAACACTATCTTTTTTTTTTTAAATAGCATGGCCATGAAAAAAACAGTGGATCTCCTTCCAGGTCAGGAGAAAAGAAAGGAGAAGATCAGGTAATTTATACAATACTGGATTTTTATTTTCTCTTGCTTTTAAATTGTAAATTATGAGTTGAAACAAAATAATGAGGTGGCAAAGAGCTCCTGGAGTATTGGCAAATTTAGTTTTAACTAAGATTTGACTCAAGAGTGTAAGTGGAAATCATTAAAAAATAAAAATTAAAGTGCTCCTGGAAAAAGCACTTTAAACAATAGAACTCGGGGTATTTTTCCTGTAGGAATTGGTGAATCTTAAATATTTTGTTGTGAGCATGGCAGATTGAAAAGGGAAAACCAAATACTGCTGTGGAAAAAGAAATCTTTTTTATTTTATTTTATTTTTGAATTATAGCTTACAGTCAATATTATTTTGTATTAGTTTCAGGTGTACAGTATAGTGGTTAGACAATCATATACTTTGCAAAGTGACCCCTCCCCCAATATTTCAAGTGCCCACCTGGCACCATACATAATTATTATAGTATTATTGACTATATTCCCTATACTGTATTTTACATCCCCATGACTATTTTGTAACTACCAATTTGTATGTCTTAATCCCTTCACCTTTTTCACCCATCCCTTCATCCCCCACCCATCTGGCAACCATCAAAATGTTCTTTGTATCTATGAGTTTGTTTCCATTTTGTTTGTTTGCTTATATTGTTTTTAGATTCCACATGAGGAAATCTATTTCATTAGACTGCACCATGAAAGGAGGACAGCAAGGTCCTAGATTAACCAACCACTCATTCAAGTTCCTAAACAAAAGGAAGAGAGAAAGAACTATTTTTTATTTGGACTGATTCTGTGGAAATACTAGTAAAACCTAGTCTCCTCACTTTGAGATGGTTTCTGTGAGCCTGTGATTTCTCCTGCCACTGAGTGATGCCCTACTGTAAGCGCCCCCGCCCCCGACACTGGCCTGTTTCTCCATGGAGAGGGGTGGGGGGTGATGTGAGAGTGCTGTCCTTCAAAAGGGCACTGGACTTGCCTCCCCTTTGCTGCTTTTTACCTTTTAAATCGCAATAGACCTGTTTATCTTCATTCAATAGAAATTACGTCACTTCCAACTTGCAAAACAGTCAGATCCTTAAAGGGACATGCAAATTTAGAAAGCATAAAGTGATTATTTTATTTTTCTCCATTTTATCAATGTGTTTACAGAAAGTTAGCTCGTCTTTCTGCTTCTTTTCTGCAGTTTTGAAATATTCAATGTGTTTCAATATATTCGATATATAAGGAAGACATAATGGCTAGAACCTGCAGGAATTCTGCCCTAAGGTTTACTCCTCTGCTTTCTACTACTGTTTCCATTACTAATATTCATGCGGATATAATGTAGATTATTTCTTACCAAGAAAATGTGTAGTGAACTTTTTTGTATCCAGGGAAGGTAAACATTTATTGAAAAAGTAAGAGTAAACTTTCATTAAGATTTTATCCTGTTTCTTGGTTATATTATTAAAAAAATAAGTTTCCATATGAAAAAACATATTTTCCTTTTTTTGATCTTTTTTAAAAAAGATTTTATTTATTTTTAGAGAGGAGAAGGGAGGGAGAAAGAGTGGAGAGAAACATCAATGTGTGGTTGCCTCTTGTGTGCCCTCTACTGGATACCTGTACTGCAACCCAGGCATGTGCCCTAACTGGGAATTGAACCAGCGACCCTTAGGTTCACAGGCCTTTTCTCAATCCACTGAGCCATACCAGCCAGGGCACATTTTTTCTTTTTTTTTTTTTTAAGATTTTATTTATTTATTTTTTAGAGGGGGAAGGGAGGGAGAGAGAGAGAGAGAGAGAGAGAGAGAGAGAGAGAGAGAGAGAGAGAGAGAGAGAGAGAGAGAGAGAGAGAGAGGGAGAGAGAGAGAGAGACATCAATGTGCAGTTGCTGGGGGTCATGGCCTGCAACCCAGGCATGTACCGTGACTGGGAATCAAACCTGCGACACTTTGGTTCGCAGCCCGCGCTCAATCAACTGAGCTACGCCAGCCAGGGCCTACATTTTTCCTTTTTATAAGCATGAAACTCTATATAATATTCAGTTCCCTTATCAACCCTACTCTTTAAATATATTCCCAAATATGTTTTCTCTCAAATAATTTCCTGTTTGAAAACAGTAGTGTTTCTTTGTGCTCCAAATCAGGAAATTATGTTTTTTAGATGCTATTCTCTATTAATATTAATAAAGATTCAACTATTTGCACTAAAAAGGAAATCTTTTCAAATATGGTCAAGTGGATAGTAGGGTACTTCTTACTGGCTCATTCTTACCAGTTAGGTTATTATGTGGAAACCTAAGTATTACGTCAGGAGTGAACAGGCATTGTAGGTCTAGGTAACAACTGCTAGCACAGTGTTGGGCCTTTTTTTTTTTGTACTGTCTGGACTATAAAGTAGCTTACTTCCATTTTTGTAAAGGGGTTGGCAAAACTGATAGGGAGCCCTGTTGTGCAGGCAGCCAGGGGAGGACTCCAGATTTCTGTGTCAGCAGAGGCAGGTTGTGCTTTCAGTTTGAAACTGAAAAGCTGAATGAACTTCTACCTCAGAAATGGAAGAAGGAATTTTCCTTCTCTTTATTAGCAATTCAAGCAGTTCCAACATGGTTTCATAACACTTCTGGTAACTTCAGATTTACAGCTCTTGTACTTGTGCCTGAGCCTGGATATGTTGGGCTGTTCTGCTGTGTCCCAGCCAACAGAAGCAAGGAGGAGACAGAGGCTCTTCCCTGCTCCCATGGTGTAAATCACAGAATATACAGAGATTCATATATATTCTAAGCTGAGGATTGTTTATCACCTCACCAAAATTCTGCCCATGTCTGTTTGAGAGAGTGGACAGACATGTGGGCAGGATGGTTTGGTAGTCAAGGTGTGTTTCCAATATGGACTGTCTCCGTGGAGCCTCTAATTCTTTATGTAATGTGTAAATAAGTCATTAAGGAGGTATTGTGGCCCTCGAGACAGTTCAAGGAAATCATCCTGCATTAGGCATTATTTTAGCCTTTGTGTTCACAAGTATGAAACCATGTGTAATCTGGAATTGTTATCTGCCCTACCTACCACTGTGGTTGCTTATCATCCTCTTTTCTTCTCAAGATTACCAAAGAAAGATTTCCTGAAACTGATTCTTTCTCTCCAATCTTTTTCTTACCTCCTGCTCTATTGAACAAGAGAAGCTTGTTTTGGGTTTTGGTAATCCATTTTAAAACTAGCATTTACCTGCAGAAGTTAAGTAATGTGTTGTCCTCAACATATGCAAACGTACTGGTTGGGCTTCCAAGGTCAGACCCAGGTTTTTGAAACAAAGTTTGAAAATTTGCTTTCTGTGCTCAGGGTTACTTCTTGGTGCTTCTTTCTCCTGCCTTTATTACTTTGCTGAATTTCATTTGGAGGTGCAAGAAAAGGGGGACACAGGAGGACTTTGGGAATTTATAACGAGGAGAAAAAACAGTAGGTTTGAGTGAGACCTACTATTATATTGTTGTGTGTACAGACATACAATATGCAGCTGTGTGAATTTCAGAGCTCTTTCTCTTCTGCTATCATAAATAGTTCTCATTGTTGGAGTATGTCCCCTAGACAGCCACTAAGTAATCCCAAAGTGTCTGTGTCAATTTTAATAGAATCTGGCAACTAAAATAACTTTCATCATGTTGCATTTGCAGTACACATGCTTGAGATTGGAGTAGAGTAACTTACTTATAACTACTGCTATGAGAATGTATTTGTCTGTTTATACAATCATTATAAATTTCTCAAGTACTTCTCAGATATAGAGAGATTATAAATCCTTACAAAAACTGTAAGGACTAACAAACCAAAGATAAATTGACTAGAAAGCAGGAAAAAGAAAAATGAAAACATTTAACATCAGCACCTTTAAATGCAGTGGAACAGGAAGTCTTTCCAAACCTTCAATCAAATCTATTTAAAAGTATTTGACTAACACATCTGGCCACCCTGGGGGAGTGTGAGCATTTTAGCAACACATTTCAGTGAAGTCCTAAGGAATAGAATTTAAAGTATAAGGCAGGTACCATCTCACCGAGCCAATTTTAAGAACTCAAATTTAATAATAGATACATTTTTATGGGTAAAGAAATGGAGGTTTGAATACAAGAGAAACTATGCCTTAAAGGGAAAAAGCATATAATAGACTTTCTTTACCAAAAGAGCATTGGTGGTATTCTTTTCCTCACTATTTACTTTTCCTTCTTCTAAAATGCATGATTTAAGTATTAAATGACTCCCATTTTTTTTCTCTTAATGGAATTAGTCTTTTTTTAAATCACAAAATGAGTATATACTTATGGGCAAAAAAGGGAATTACCCAGAATCTTACCACTTACTTATATCCACTGCTACAAAATTTTGTGTGTAGTCTCAAATTAGTGGGATAATACTGTGTGTTCATGCTTATTATATATACTGATGTTAGCAACTTTTTAGTGACCATTCAGGTAAAACAATCATTGAAGAAAATTTAGGAAGTACTGAAGGCTTTATAGAAAAATATCATCTTGAATTCTAGCACCTAGACAGAGGGCCACTACTCCTATGTTGGCACATTGCCCTACATCCTTTTTGAATGTGTACATATTATGTTTAAGCTGAGATAACAAAGCAACATCATTAATAGGGCCTGGACTGAAAGAGATAAACAATGTGCTTTGTCATAGATTAACCTTTTCCAATTAAAAAAAGGAGTCATTGTGTGTGGCTTTTAAATATGTATAAAATCATTATCTAAGTACCTTCTACTTAATATGGCATTTATCCTGGCCATTATTTTTTGTTGCAATTTTGAGGGCAGCAAACACACTTCTTTAAGGAGTCTTCTGGAACACTACCCACAAACACGTGATTTCGCTGCTGTTAGCAAATTCTGGAAGAGTACTTCAGTATACATTGTTTTACGGGATTATTATTAACTGTGGGAATTGGTTGTAGCTGCACAAGCTGATGTCCCAGTGCCAAGAAAGAGGCAAAGCTGAAGGAGCGTACTGAGGGCAG